AGGACACCATACTGGAGGTGTCATTGGTGGTTCAACATCAGTGTGGCTCATAACTGAATGAAAATAGTCCCATAAAAACAAGATGTACAACACTAGTCTTGATTTCAAAACTACCCATGATGGATAACCCTCTACAATCCCTCAGATATTGCTCCCACTGAAACTATGCCCATTGTTGAAAATCTGCAACATGTTTCTACTCTGAGTTTATCTGGCATCAGCTTCTCGCCATTAGCTCCTGGTAATGCATTGTTTGCTCAACAGAAGACCTCTATCATCAAAGGTTTATTTCACAACTGGGTACTTAAGGATTTTTGACCAAGACACCCCTTAGCCTTTTCCTCAATAATAAACTAACCTTCTGAATCACACTCTGATCCACTGGCTTCCACTCTTTTATTCATTCATGTGGAGCTTTCCTGAACTCCCTCCAATTTTCCCAACGCCTTGGCGCTCTGCTGAACAGAGCAGGGTGCAGCATCCTTCTACAACAGTCACACCAATGCCCAGTTCTGATGTTACAGACCCTTCCTATTCTTGCCCAATGGTTTTTTCTGTTACCCTCCTGTAGATCACACTGTCCTTCCTGACCATTTTTGCTCTTTGGTCCCTTCTCCCTATTTTCTAGTACTGAGTGTCCTACCCTCTGGAAATATTCATCCAATGTTGCCACTAGGAAAGTAAGAGACATACCACAGTCAGGTTTACAGTACTTACTGGTGATAGGGGGTGCACGGCAGCCTCCTGAAACAAGCAGACAGTCATATTTTTTCCATGGATCTCTTGAATTCCTCAGATATTGGTCTCAGGACAGTGTAGTGTGCTAGAGTAGAATCATTAACCACAAACCCTACAGTGCATGCATGCAACTAGCTGTGTCCTTTTGTGTGCTAAATCCTTACCATCATCCTAAGGGTAGCAGTGTGGCAAAAGACTACACACAGCTGGCAGGTACTCCTGGAAGTCTGGAGATTTCAGGAGTTCTATTTCCATTAACACCAGCTGAAGCAGCATGGTTTGAAGCTCATTTTCTTGGGGCTGATCATTGTGTATCTTCCTTTTAGAAAATTATTCTTTGTTCTTCCCTTAATTAGTTCATTTATTTGATTTATATCTGTAGGTATGTTTCAGTGACAGTAATGGAGGGACCAAGCCCACACTCCTCTCACAAATCTTCCTTATTTTCTTTTTGCCTATGAATATGTAGAGACAACTGCTTTGTCTTAATAGCATTGCAGAGAACTATTTCAGTGGTTTGTAATACTTCACCATCTGGTGGAGGAATACTTCACCACTTGGAGGAAGACAGAATTCCTTTCTTAAAGCTTTTTCAATCTGAGGCAACAAGCACGCAAAAGCATAAGGAGTTAGATAGAGTTATTGCAAGCACAAGCCTTTTACCTTGACTTTTGTTTTCATGACGCTTCATTTACTTATTAAACAAAATGCATGACAGCCATATGTGGTCTTCTTTTAATAACCGGCTATTTCAGTGCCCGAAATCAGGTGGTATAAATACCTTGCTATGATCCAGAAAGTTATTTTAGACCACCATCCTGTTCAAAGTGTCCCATTTCTGTAGCACAGAATCACATAACAAGTCAATACAAGTGAAAATATGAGCTTACACCTTCAGGCTAAATCTGACTGTCACAAGGATTTCCCTGGGAAAACAAAAAAAATGCCTAAACAACTTTCTTTCCCATTTCCATCTGTTAACTCACACTTCTGCCTGGTGAAAAGCCTCAGTGAGAAACAGTGCCTATGATACTCCATCCCAGCCCTGGATGGAGTGGGCTGAGTCAGGGAAAGTAGTCTGCAACCATCTTTCATTCAGATGTATGTCAGCTTTTCCTTCTGGTAGTGATGGATTTTGGAACTTTAATTTGTGTCTTCAATTGCCAGAATAAAAATTGCAAATACCTCACCTTCTTATTCAAGTGATTGGCAATTACATTAAGGGCCTTTTTTTCCTGGTAAAAAGGCCAGGTGATACAAAAGCTCTTGTAATTCTCCATGTGATCTGTACTATCAAGTCTTCATTCAGAGAAAGCCTCTTTCTTAGAGCCAATGGTCAGAAAGGCCCAAAATATCAGCAGAAGAGCTCACAGCAGGAACAAAGAATCAACAAAGACTGGTACCTTATATTTTGTCATCACAGAATATTTCTGTCTGAAATATCAGGAGTTGAAAACCATGTATATGCTTTTGTCATTCTTTTACATGTCTTCTATCAGAATCTGGAGAAAATATGTGGATAGGGTGACTGCAAAATATGTTTTCAGGCCTGAACCTGCCCCTAAAGTCTAGCTTGCAAAAACAGGCTTTCATCTTTCTACCTTGGTAAGTCTCTTTCTAATGGCAGATGTGACAGATGAGAAAGCTATGTGATTCTGCACAGTATCAGTGTGAATGGCCAGTGAGAAAGGTCATTAGCCTGACCCCATTTTATCCTACTACCGCTTTAAAGAATAAGAAGAAATTTAGTTATTTGGTGTTAAAACAAGCAAGAGAAAAAATTACTTTGAAATACATTAATGGCCCAAATTTTTTAGAACAAGATATGTTAAGTAGGAAACTATGCCAGATAGATGCAGTGGTGGTACATGCCAAAGCTACAGTTAAATTATGTATATGGACCAGTCACATGCATCAGTGCACACACAAAATTCTGAATTTTTTGGCCTGTCATTTGTAGAAGCTCACATACTATTACTATTCAATGTCTAGCAAGAGTTGTTTTGTCTTCTTAGCAATAGCAGCAAAAGGCTGATGCCTGGCTATTATTATTAAAATATAATATCCGACAATGATTCTATACATCTAACATTTCACAGCAAATACAATTTCTGGCAAGGAGAACTTAATCATCATATATAAGCAGATAGAAAACATCTTGGAGAGTATATTATTAAATTACTGTCTTACAGAGAAATTTTGTTGTGACCTTCCTTCTACAGCATATTGTAAGCAGCCTTTATATAATTCTCAGAACAGCCTGTAGAAGACACATCAAGATTGCATCTCATGAATGGACTGAATGCCTTCTCCACTCCAAACGTCTCTTGCTGTATTCTACCCTTAACAGAACCTTCTTGTTTTTCATATGGTTTCCAAATCTCAGGGATCTCTGATCTAGCTATGTTGATTTAATTAGCACTTTTAGGAGGAACCCATCCTGTGGAGGAGATCAAAGGTATCTAAAGAGTGTGCCTATTGTTTTGTCATGTTTCAGACTCTTCTCACTTCTTAAGTGGTGGTAGAAGTCCATAACAACATGGTTCATTCTTCAAATTCAAGATAAGACCTCATGCAACCATGATTACAATGTTACCTGTTCAGCTAGGGGCTGAATGAAGTAATTGTTAAGTCAGCAAATTGTTGGAACAGTCTACCCATGGTAGAGAAAATTCAGATCAGAAGAGGTAATCACAAGGATGCTGCTCAAGGCTTTGGAATCTCCTGAGCCACAAAAAGCAAGAAGCAAAAGGATCCTTTGGTCAGATTTCTCAATCCCCTCTATATGATGTTCTTCCCACTATTGAGCACAGCAAGAGATGTGCCAGAGGTCCAGGCTAGTGTGCCCATCTTTTGTTCTTGTAAAGATAGAAGGCAAAGGTCAAGGTTTTCCTTCCATGGGCTGAGCTGAAAGACCAGTGTCCATGGGCTCAGCAATTTATTGGGGAATTATCTCTGCTTAAGGAATCTGTTGTGATTTGGTTCTTGATGGCAGGGGAGTCAGGAGGGTTGGAAGTGTGGGGTGAGATGTGTCTAATAAGCGCGGTAGGGTGAGGAGAAGACAAAATGATGGAATGTGCATTGCATCAATTAGGATGCTGCAGTGTTACAGAGAAATCTTTAACAATTAAAGTAAGAGTCAGATGTGTGAGGGAAGTTTTGTGTCAGGGAGGTGAACATGCTATCTATAATGGAACAAAGGCTGAGTGAGTTGTCATGAGTAAGATATGAAACATCAAAAAAATAAAAAAGTCAAGAAAAATTATGGATAACCTGAGCTCCAGAAAGATCAAAAAAAATGAATTTCTAAACATTTCTCTGTACATAGTTCATTTTTTTCCTGATCCATGGGCATCAACTGTATTCCAAACTAGATAGACAAAGAAACTCCCAGTAGAACTGAGTATTTTTTTTCCAGAGCCTTATAAGGAATATTTTGCATCTTGCTTACTAGTTCCACTCGGTCCAGATATATAATGACCAGAATTATAAATCCTTTCTGACCACTAGATTCTTCTTCTGAAGTACCCAGAAAAGGGTTGTACACATCACAAAAAACATATCAAATGATGGCATTTATTATCCTCTTCCCCAAACTGGGCATTCCGAGAAATAAGGCAAAAATAAATTAGTCAGCGAAAGATAACCACTCCATCATCTCAAGAGAAAACTGGGACAGACATCTAGCCCTTCAGGTCTATTCATGTACGTTCTTCTCCTGTGCTCACCAGCCCACTGCCTGACATCAGTGTGGTAAGCAGTATGACTAATATCTAGCATATGTTGTTTGCTTTCTCATTCCCTCCAGAGGAAGCAGCATATGCACTAGTGTGTCTTGTTTGGTAGGATTTTCTGCTGTCTTTTTAAATAGAGGTACTGGTCTGCATTGATCCTACAGAAAGCAGCCCCAAAAGGATCAGACCCTGTGCTTTAATGGGAAGGTGGTGAGGCATGAGACAGTGCTTAATTCTTGCTGTGTTTGTTCTCCCAGCCTCTGAAGAATGAGAAAGTTTTGCCTGACTTTCACACAGGCTTTACTCTGACTATAGAGTATCATGCAATGTTATCATAACACAGCTTCTCAGGCCAGCAGCTTTTGGCAGTCATTATCTTTGCCTTAAAACAGAAAAATTCAGTCTCTTGAGCATATCAACAAACCAGGCCTGAGAAATATTGCTAGTGAGCTGATCAAACATTTGGATGCACTTTCTGTGAGTTAGCTAGCAAGGCCAGCCCCTTCTGCTGACGTCTTTCCTCTCTATCACACATCAGACTTTTCCCAGTGGAGCTGGAGAACAGGCTTCAATGAAAACTGCCTGTTTGCAGTTACATGGAGATTGCAGGCATTACAATCACTATTTCCTTAACGTGACCTGGAGCAGAACCTCCATCATCAGGATAGAAAGGTAGCCTTGTTGCCTAGCAAAGGTAGGATGATTTATCTGTGTCTCTAGATTGGTCCCTTTTCTTTTCTGCACAACAGAATTGCTTTCAGACTTCCAAGGAGAATGAAGCCAGGCTAAAAATCGGAGTGGATGTGGGAGAGCCGCTCTTGCAGGGAGTAGGATAGTCACAGTGTTTCTGCCCTTCTGTTCTGTGCAACGCAGGACAATGGTTTTGTCTGCTCCAGTTATAGCCCTGGGGGCTACCTTAGGGACTGCAACTAGCATCCTTGCCCTCTGTGGTCTCACCTGCTTCTGCAAATGCAAGCAACCTGGGAAAGGACTCTCAGAAAAGGACCAAGAGGAGGAGACGGAAAATCCTAAGCCCAGCGTGCTTCAGCCAGTCCAGCAAGTAAGGCACAGTCTCTAATTTACTCTGTTATTTTTCTTAAATGCAGAGGTTGGGAATGCAACTCTTCTCTGTTAGGCTACTCAGCATGTGATTTATGCTGCCTGTTTATCTGCTTACTGTGTTCAGGATGTAACAACATGCTAGTGGGAGGAGGAGTGAGGGAAAAACAGAGATGAGCTGGGTAACACACAGAATTACCGGAGCAGGAGACAGCTGCCTCATTGCCAAAGAGAAAGCTGCTAATGGCAAAAATGGGGGAGAAGGACTGGAAATGGTGTTTAGCTGTCAAGATAGATCACAAGAGAAATAATTTACTGAGAGGAGAAGACTGGACTGTACCAGGTGGCATGCAGCATTGTGAAAAAGAGATGACTCCTGCTGAGATCTCATATAGCAGCTATTTAACTCTATTCAAAATATCTTACAGTTCTTACAGGATAGTTCCCTGTCAACAGTTGATTTCTTGTGAAAACCTTCCCTCTTCCTCCTCCCTCTGCCCCTCTAACTGAGGGAATTAATTATGTGAGAAGTTAAAAAAAGGCATTGAAATTACAATAAAAAGCAAGTGAGAATCTAGACTGTGATGACTGGACAATCTCATCACATTGTGAATTTCTTTTTCACTTACTGTAAGAGCAATGTGGAGTATTAAACATGTCAGGCATCCCTGTATGCTCTTTTATTCTTGTTAGAATCCAAATGCTCTGATTTACTCCTGAGCTCAGTGCAAGAGAGAACAAGGGAAATTATAGGACACTTGTAATATACTTATTGATGGGAATCTCTTCTTCAAATGGAAATGTTAGATGATTTCCTTGGTTGACTATGGTCTTTAGCATGAGCTATGGTCAGTCTCTGAAAGTATTACCTATTGGCTGTTGCTCCTGATATCTGTATTTGCCTGCATCTTTTCACTTTCACTTAGCCATTTAACCAAGTGTTATGCCATATAGCCAATTCCAAAGGCCAGTGATCCATTGTATGTCTTTGTTTGTCTTTCAATTATTTGAGCTGCCTACTATTTTTGTATTCTTAAAGTGTGTAGCAGAAGTCTTAATTGAACTTCTCTGTAATGTTTGTAATTAAATATTCAGTCTCTCTTTGGCTTCCAATCTTAGGCTTTTAGTAGAAAAGAAACCGGGCATCTTTGTGCTCCTGTTACAGTTTATTCTGAGGTAAGATGACCAAATCTACAAACTATATTGTAAGAACTGGTGCAGATATACAGAATGGCATTACCAGAACTTGTGATTGCTGGAGAGGGAAAGGGAAGTGAGGAAGGAAGGCTCTGCTGACCATGGATTAACATCTGCGTGGAGTTTAGGACTTCTCAAGAGATTGCTGCTAATTCTGAGCCTTCATCCATGAGCATGGTGAATAACTCCTAGTACCAGTTTGCATTTTCTTAGGATGAATTTCTTCTGTTTGATAGCTTAGTCATGTCCTTTTCAGGCTCCTTTCTTGTCTTTTCTACCCTATACAGGGGATTTGCCAATGTCTGTATATAAGAATGTACAATGATGCTGAGATTTTCCAAGTTTACTGTTAATATGAATGAGAAATGTGTAACTTTGACAGTCATATCACTTTGTACAGCAATTTTTCTAGCTGTTCTCTGGAGCAATGCTATCCACAGATAACTTTACCTTGAGGTTCTTTCTACAAGAGACTTTTTGTTGTTGTAATCTAGCTCAGAAACATCTCAGATCTTTATTTTAATTCCATCCTTGGACTGGACTTCTTTTCTTTTATACGCCTTTTGGGAAACACCTTGTGAAAGTGTTAATCCACCCTGGACCTTGTCCACTGGCAAGTTATCCTGTTTACATGACTGAAATAAGCATTGTCTCCATATTGTCCAATTAAGCCTCAAGTACCCAACAGCTATTCAGTCATGGTCCTTACAATATTTTTACATTCATCAAGTTTTGCCATGATATACTCCAGTATTTGACCAACAAGGGTTCAAATTATTCAACCTGCCCTCAATGTATCACTACTAACTGAGTGATTGCATTCTTTTAGCATTGTAGACTTTTTAATTTGAAGTATTATTTCTAATGTTACTGGCTTTGGAGTTTTTTAAAGAAATCTGGACAAATTATAGCATCCAAGTGAACATTCTGTCACAGAAAGCGCAAAATGTTCTTAGTTTGCATATTCTGTATGTTTAGCAATTCTTTCCAATTAAAACAGTTTTCTTGCCAGGAACATGTATTTCCCTATGCTGTCACTGATTCAGAATCAGTCTATATACCTCCAAGGAATGAATCTCAATTTGAGTTTGGAGCATATGAAATTTTATCATCTCTGTCTATGTTGATAAATTGTTCTGTTGAGACTTTTTTCTGACTACATTAGTACACAGTATGTCCTAGTCAGTGTTTGACATACTTAATTATTGAAGGCTGTCAGGGCAACTGATTCAGATAAACAGAGATGACAAAAGAAAGATGAAGCAAGTCTGCATTTTATTCACTTGGCATGTCTCCCATGACAGCGATGCTTGTATTCGCTATAGACAGAGGCTCCCTGTGGACATGCCCTGCATACGTGAGGAGGAAGAGTTCAAACACAAAGATACATCTACAGAACAATGAAAAACTGCTGTAAATATGCAAAGTCTCAGCAAAGCCTGCAGAATGAAGATTCCTAAACACATGCAGCAATGGCAAAAATATCTGGCGCTTTGTTTGAGTGACACTGGCCAGGGACCCTGAAGGGTCAGTTGCAGCCTCCTTGCTACTTTTGGTGTATTTGCTTTCATGCATTTTTACAAAACTGTCTGAACTGTCCTGTTCATCTCTTTATTTAAGACACTGCTGCTGATTTGCAAAGAAAACTTCCATAGGGCACTGCTATGTAACTGGATTAGCAGATAGCACTTGGGAAAAGAGCTGGCAGCAAAATAATAAACAGAGGCAGATGCAGTTGGAAGAGAGGGTGGGCTAGTCCCACTGTGCTTGCATATGTCTCTCATCTCTAGTTCTACAGAGCAGACAGACAAGAGGAATATTTAGACCCAGTGGAGCTCTTAGTTGCTGTGTGCTGATGGATTTCCTGACTAAAGCCTGCCTGACTTTCAGCAAGAGAAGATTGTACTAGCAATACCTCAGACTTGTATGGTGTTTTCATCCCAAAGGATCTCAAAGTGCTTCATGTGCTAGCAGCACAGAGCAATGCAGGCATGGGGCTCTGGTGTGATGGCCAGTGCCTAGCAGGACAGCAGCCTTATGCAGCAGCTTCAGGATAGAGAACAGCAGAGACTGACCACCATGTCAGGCCCTGTATGTGTGCTAGATATAATGCCTCTGCACAACAAAAGCATCCTGGTTTTCAAGCTGTTATCCAGTGATTCCTCACATATTTTGCTTGGTTGGTTTGCTTTAATTTTAGAAGAATGGTTTTGGATGAGTAACTTCACATATCCTAGAGGATTGATGAGGCTCACATCTCTGAAAGAGAGATCTCACTTACAGGCCCACACCATATGACTTACGTAATATCTAAACTCAGCTGAACACTAGGTGAGGATGGCACACAGTGACATCTTTTTTTTTTCAACCTACTTCTCATTCAGACCCCTTAAAATTAGACAAGATAAAATGCTATATTACATGGTAAACTTCCTAAACACTGATACACTGGCTGCCTTGAGAAGATGGAATCACTGATCTAATTAATTCTCTACCACTGCCAAGTGTATGTAACCATGGTATTATGATCTCTATAAGCAGAATATGACTAAATAGCCAACATCCAAGACTGCTCTCTTTCTTCAGACTCTGTTTCTTGAGAAATAGGTATGCTTCCTCTGGGCATACAAGCTGGGACCTTGAAGTCCCAACACAGACAAGTGCTTCGGGCATCATCTACATTCATTATTAATAGGAAACAATAAGACTAATGAAAAACTTTAATTACAATTATGAACCTTTTCTGTCTCACTCTTAATCTTGACACAAAATAGGTTGGCAAGCAGCAAGGTTGGAGATAATCCCACTGCACAATAATCAACCAAAATGGCTGTTTTACTTCTGCTTTTTGTCTCTCATGTTTTGGAAACATTAATAAAATCTGTTGCAAGGATTGGGGTCATTTGCTAGTTAGCTTTTGTTTTTCCCCATTGATGAATCCAAACATAAATGAATCAGGAATGATTTCAGTTGTAAGCAGACTGGATTCTTTCTTGGGACACAAGGAAAAGAGAACTGTTCTATTCCACTAAAATATTTTTCTTTGTTTAGGGAGAACAATAATGCCTTTGTGCCAACCTTTGCTTGGACTCTCTGAGCATTGCACTGTCTTTCAGGTTCTTCTGCTCATCCCATGTTCATGATTCAGCAGGGAATTGAAATGTTAAGAACAAACTCAGGCACAAATCCAAATTTCAATCCTGGTGTAATAAAGAGGAAATGTGTGTCTGAGGGTCAGTTGGAGCTCCGGTCTAGAAAGCCAGGGGATAGTCCAAAAGGCTGAGATGACCATTTAATCAACTATTCTTGGTATTTCATTGCAGAGCTCATTTGTTCAACCAGTTCTCCTTTTTCTTATTATACCATGGTCGTACTTGATCCAAGTGACTATATGACCTGTCTCCCATTCTAATGCTTACTACATATTCAAAATATTCTAAAATTTGTGGATGGCTGTAGCCTCTTGCTCTTGGATTTGACTTCAAACATCAAGGTAAAAATCACCATGCATTAATCACAGCGGTTAATTTCTGTGCTAAGAGGAAACACAGACTTATGAAAAGATTAACTGGTACAGAAACAGAGGAAAAATCAAATTATAAGAACATATCTTTTTTTTTTTTTTTTGGCAACCAGTAGAGAAATAAATCTGAAAAGACATACATCATGTAGACAAGACATCTACCAAGTAGAAGGGTATCAGCTTTGGTAAGAAAGTCTCTGGATGTACAGTTAGTGGTTTCTACAACCCAAGAAAAAATGATGGTAGGACTGACCAGAGGCACCACTTTTTCTGTCTTTGTCTCAGCTCATTTAATGCTGTGAGAATTGGAAGAATTAGTCTAATTAGTTCAAAGTAATAAACAAGGTTTTAATTTTCAGTTCAACATCAAGAAAACCGCAGAGCCAGTACAGCCTCGAGCACTCCTGAAGTTTCCCAACATTTATGGCCCCAAACCAGTAGTAACTTCACCTGAAATTGTTAACTACACACAGTACTCTCTGAAGACAACAGAAGAACCAGCTACTGGAAAACATACTGGTTTGGATGAGAGTAGGATGAAGATACAAGTCAATGAAGAGCTGTTTGTTCTCCCTCAAAACGGTAGGAGCTTTTGGTCTTCAGACTAACAATTGCTTTTCTGGGTGTAGATCTGTGATAGTTCTGAACATAATGTGATTTTTCTTAGAGAAATAAATGTGAAAATGAAAATATTGGATGGTTTTCATTCTCCTTTTATGAGCACTGTGAGTTCTGTCTTGGATACATTTGTTTAATAGAAGGTAGTCATGGAGTTCATCAGAACATTCAGATAACAAAGCTGTATTGTGTCTTAGTGCAATGTGTTTTTTTTAACTGAACATCTTTTGTGTTGAAGAATCTGGCTCACTGGTAGCAAACAGTCTGTAGAAAAGTGCATTTAGTGCAGTTTTACTGAGAGCAGTTGCCAGAGTATGTGTGAAATATCTGGCAAAAACTGGGCAGAGTATCTCCTCCAGGACAAATGCTAGCTGTCCAGCAACTGTCCTTGTCAGGGACAGTGGGGGTTGAAGCTTATAACTTTCTCTGCTCCTTTTTTTCCGCTGGTTTGGTGAGATGGTCTTGGTTTTTTCTAATGTGCAGTGAAACTGAAGGCTGACACCTCAAATATTTTTGCCACACAGAATTCCTGTTTCCTATCCAGCCCAAAGGGTTACACTCCAAAACCTGAAACATAAGATTCCTGGAGCCTGAGAGAAAATGCAATGTTAATTATATACATCTGGCAGCATAGCTGGGTTGCTTCCATACTGATTTTTAACTTCACAGCTATCTTTTAACAGGACAATTGACTCTTCTGGCTATCATGCTAATAAAACCTTCCTGAAGATTTGCCAGAGAGCCAATGCCATCTGTCATGATTTTTATTGAATACTCTTTTTGGTTTTTTTTTAATTGCTTGAGATTATATTTTTACCATTCTGGAAGGATGATCGCTACATTCAACCCCCCATCCTGAGACTTATGAGTATGGAAAAGAAAGTGCCATGGGAAGCAGCTGCATTGGAGGAAGAGACTGTCTGAGGCACATCCTTAGGTGTCAGGAAGAAGATTATAGGGTGAGAGAATGAAGAATGATGGCTGCATTTAGGCTAAAGCTTTATGTAAGTGTGTTGGTGTAAGAGCCTCTCTGCACTGCTAATGGTACAAGCAAGTTTCCTTCCTGCTGTGCCTGATTTCGTAGCTCAAGTGATGCTAAAATTAAGCAAGAATGGTTGCATTCTCCTTTTGATGCCACAATGAACTGGTCTAAACTGTGTCTCAGATTTTCAGAAGGAAATGTGCTGCTCCCAGTATTGTTTTCCATGTGAATCAGAACTGACCTGGCAGATTACAGCTTTTGATGACAAAAATCTCTGGCTTCTCTTTAGTCTTGCAACTTGCTTTATTTCAGTATGAAATACATGCTCAGCTCCAAAATCACACATGAAAAACTGTCTCCTGGATTCCCAAATTCATTGTCTTCAACTTGATCAGGTGCTATGAAATTAGATGTCTTTTGCGTGACAAAGACTTTGTTAAAATCTAAAAAAACTTTTAGAGAGGCCTGACCTAATGCAGAATTACATAGCAGCTCAAAAGCAGACTCACATTCTCATTACAGAGAATATAAGATTCAATTTAACAATGCAAGTTAAAACAACATTAAACAATATAACAAGTAATGGGTGTCATTTAGACACCTTGGCCTAAGAACAAGGTAAAAGAACCATGATAAAGCACAATGTGGTAGACTGCAAAAGTCTTGTCCAGGTGCTGTAGAAAGAGCTGAAAGTGTGAGTAAACAGAGCAAAAATGAGATATGATGATGGAGGAAGAAGGAAAATAAATTATATTCCTGCATAAAAGGTGCAGGATAGTAAGACTTTTAGAAAAGCTGAGTCAAGACAAGGTGGATTAGTTCTCTTGGGAAGGTGAAGACCTGCTTGCTAAAGGGGTTATTTCAGTTCCAGGTGTGGTAAAGGATGTGTGTGTCACAGAGCACTTGAACCCTGAGAGAGCAGCCAGCTGTAACCAGGCCCCCAAGCTGCACTACTCCCTTGCGTATGATCAACAAAGAGCCGAGCTGCGTGTGGCACTTCTGGAAGGTAAGGGGCAGAGACCTGATCCGAAGGTACAAGACACCTATTGATTACATTTATAGAAAGTTCCCCTCCTACCTTAAAACCAACATGTGTTCTCAGGACCACTGCATGTTTCACTGGTTCTGGGCTTGTGGAACAGAAGTATCTGGCAATGTCGCTGCTCGAAGCAAGAGTGCAGGGCATGGCTTGGGAACAATTGTTTGCACAGCTCAAAAGCAGAATTCAGGAACCATGATGGGTTCCTCCAATCCCAGACATGGTACAAAGCAACCTCTTCTTTTTATATTTTCCTTTGGGGGTGGAGGGGAAGGGGGTTACTATCTCCTTCCTCTCTACCTTTCATTCTTCAACCTGACCCACTTCCTACTGCCTCTTCCTCAAGTCAAATCAAAGGCTGAGCTGGAGATGCCAGACTTATTTTGAGGAAGAACCCTCTGTCTGTGCTTGGCCAGGCAGCCAGGTTCTGTGTCACACTCTGAAGTGGGAACTGACAACTGTAACAGCTTCTCCACTCGGGGCTGGAGCATCATCAGTTCCTCTGGGAAAGTAAAATAAGCTGACTGAATAATTCATGCACAGTGCAGATCTCTGTGGAAACCTAATCAAATCACACCCTCTGAAGTGAGAACTGAAAAGGTGCTGAATGGCAGCCACTGCTGTGGGCCTGATGCCAGCAGCAAGCACACAGTTCCCCTCCAGCACGGACACCCACGCCTGCTGGCTGCCACCCTGGCACTCCTGTGTGCATGCTCCTCCCTGGGTACCCTACTGCCCCCAGGGAAGGGGCAGGGTCTGCTCCCTAGTTCTGTTCCCCTGAGAAGCCAGGAGAGCCCTTTGACCCATGCCCTGCGGTCCTGGCAACTCAGGAGCAGCTGTCCTTGGACTGACTGCAGCAAGGACAGCAGTTTTTTCCATGAAGTCATGATGCTCCACAACCCCTTGGAGAAAGGTGTGGTCCTCTTGCTGTGGAGAAGATAGTGCAATTCTGTTGATGCAACTGAAGAGTGTGAAATGCCATTCTCACTCTAGGCTTTTCAACATAAAAGCAATATAAAATTAGGGATGAGTGTCTCTTGACACAGATCTGTTGGGCTGCGGGATAGCTTCTGACGGATTCATTTACCAGTGGTTGAACGAGCTGACTTATCCCCCACTGGCCTGCAGGGATGGATGTGTGCCAAGGGGGAGGTCTATCCCATTTCTGATGTCTGTGACTGATCTTCCTGCTTTTAAAGTCTTTGTAAGAAGCTCTTTTTGTGTGCCAAGGTAAAAGTAAATGAGAGCTGCCAATCCCTGTGTCATGCTGTCTTATCTCCTTGCTGTTCTGCATCTTTCAACAGACCATGTTCCCTTGAACTCAGCTGTTACTCTCCCAAACACTAGCAGCATCCTTCTGCAGTGGCAGAAGGACAGGGACATTGTGTAGCACGAGGAAAACACCACAGCATGAGCCCGCAGCTTAGTCTGCCCCATGCAAGCAGGAACAGGGATCAGTGTCTATGTAGATGTTTTATTTTATGGCTCTCATAAAATAAGCAATTTAGCCACAGATATTTCAGGGCTGTCTTTTGTGAGAGGTCCTTATTATCAATCTTTTCCAGCTATGCATGGCAGAATGACTGTGGACCAAGATGCTGGCTGCCATTGTTACATACTGGGCACATTGGTGAGAAAGTCTGGTATTGCTGAGGCTCAGACAGAGCTGAAGAAGAAGGTACTTCACACTCTTTGGGAGGAGGTCCTGCGATTTCCATTAACTGAGGAGGAGATGCCAGAAGGGACACTGACTCTCACGCTGAGAAACTGCGACAAGTTCTCCAGACACAGCATTGTGGGGGAACTCAAACTGAACCTTGCTGAGATGGAGGAATCCTTTGGGAAGGCCCAGTGGGAAAGGCTAAAGAGTCCAGAGAAGGTACGGACTCAGTCTGTGTTGGTAGTCCAGAAACCCTAATGATTAATAGTTTGGACAAGAGAAGCCCTTTTGCTAGATGGCTCCATATGGGTGGGTGGCTTTATTTGTTTGGAGCAGATTTAGAGGGGTGATGTGGGACCACAGAGGTCACTCAACAGTTCTCTGTGATCGTCTGTAGATAACCATTTCGGAAGCAGAGGCCCATCAACCCAGTCCTTCCATCTACCGCTCCCAGCAGTTAACATGTGTCACAACTCCCTCAGCTCCTCCTCAACACCGTGACAATCTGACACTGACATCTGTAATTCAAAAGATATGTCTAGAAAAAGGTGTGTGAGTTTCTGAGAATTTGTGATACAGGACCACAGTGGCAAGAGCTGAAATACCAGAGTGCCTACAGAGCCCGATGGAGGGACTCTGCAAAGCAGTGTACTGGTAGGGCATACGGTGGCATTCCAGGGAGCCTTAAGTTAGGAGTCAAATACATTGTTGGGACCAAAATGTTGGACTGAAGACCACTTATTCTTACTAGGATCAATCCACAACAATCGTTCATTGCATTGTGTTGGGTTTCTTAAACATCAAACCCTTCCTTTCCTTCCTTATCCACATCTTCCCAGCAGCATAAACAGGGAAAATGGAAGGAAGTATTCCAACAGTACTTGAAGTAGGTAAAGGGGATGCTTCATGAGCACCAACTTTTTGCACATTTCCTCAGAAGTCTTTCCCCTGCCATGGACTGGGCTATTTTAGCAGCAGCAAGACCCTTAACATGGCAGCAGGGTGCAGCTATTGCTGCTGCTGGTACATCACAACAAATAGGTACCTGTTGTACTCTGGTGTGGTATGAGGTGAGCAATGCAAAACAACACCAACGCTGTCGCTAAGCATCATGAAATAAATTACTATCTGTCACCATCAGGGGTGAGGGCTCTCCACTGAGTTGGCCACAGAGTACAGAGTTAGCATTTCTGATTTCCAATAATGCTGATTTATCTGATCACCACTTGAATACTAACAGGACTGTCCACCCTAAAAAAACATCTGGCAGAGACAGAGGCAGCAGAAACAAATGTGTGGTCTAAATTAGTTTAATAAACTTCAAGCACAAGGCTGAATATTTGTCCAATATCTGTAACCCTCCCCTTGATCTCCATACTGAAGCATCTGCTTTTTCAGCAATACCCAAGACCCTGTTCACAGCAATGGGCAGTTGCAACTCCAGTGCACGTGAAGGAGTCCTGACATACTGGGAATTCTGCCTTGGTCCAGCTTCACAACTACACATAGGAACAGGGCAGCATTCATTTCTTCTCCAGGCTGACAGCACAAGGTTAGCACCAACAGTACTGCTGAACAGTGCCCCAGTTTGAGCTGAGGATGTGAAGTGAAAGCTGAATTTGCGTCATCTGGGACCTGAGAGAGCCAACCATTGCACAGATAGCTTCTGTATACAGATCCTGAATCATTCATTGAGAACCAGAGGGAGGGAGTGAGGAAGAGCTGTTCAAAAAAGAGGAGCTATTTTTGACAGCATTCATCCAGGAACAAAGTTACTGAGCTTCATTACCTTGAAATGCCAGGAAGGGCAGAAATTTCATTTGTACCTTCCCAGTAATTCCTCCACACCCAAGGGAAGGAGCTCAGAGTGCAGCTTACAGCCAACCAGGTAATGCAATTATCATTCAGGAATTCATGGAGTCCTGTGAGCAATGCAAAGCATAGATGCTGTAGACTGATAACCTTATCTTGTCTTCCTTCCCTCCCACTGCTTTGTTAATGATTGTGATGATAGTGGGTCCTTGCATAGCAACTTCCTTCGATTCCATGGTGCCCTGCACGTAATTCACTGATGACCCCTTGATGCTTTTTATCTTTACTGCATAGAAAGGAAGACTGAAGCTCTGATGGTTGTATGAATTGGAAAGATTGCAGCACAAAATGCAGGTTATGGATTTAATAGAAAAACGGAAACAAAAGAAAACAAAACCCAGAAAGGGGAAAGAAAATTACCTTCAAGCAAAGCTCCAGCAGAGACCAATCATTGCAGGTTTTGGTTTCATGTGGATACAGGCTGGTCAAAAACTTGATCAGGATACTAGGAGTTAGAAAGTCATAAGCACAAGATGTGATCTGTGTACAATGTGTGCATTTGTGTGGGTGTGCATACACGCATGCATACGTGCACATCTACAGAGCCCTACCCCCTCCCAGTCTCCACTGTATCTCTCTGTGCCTGGAGCTATAGGAACCAAACTCTAGCCAAGAGCTATAGAATGGGACCTGGGTGAGATGTAGTGAGGACAAATACACAAAAGCAGCTTATGACTTGCTTAAACTCTGGGTTTTTATTGAGGTGGCGTTTGGGTTTGTCCCTCTGTGTATGAACACCTATTATTTTGTAGTGAACATACAGGCATCTGAATCTCTCCCTGGTTTTATGCATGGTTTTATTTAAGGTCCGCATCAATTTAAGACAGGATTTATGTAAGAGAAATGCATATAAGCCCTTCATTGCTACCTGAGTGCATGAAAAAAAGATTTATTTGGGCTGACTTAGGATTGAATTTCAAGTTTCCTTGCTAATGGCCTCCCACCTGATTTTGCAGGACAAATTAGTCATTCAAACCAGACAGCGATGACAGCCACGTTTTCTGGAGAGTCAATCAGCTCACAGGGAGCATACAGGGGCCTGTCCTTGCCTGTTTCGAGTATCGGTCTGAAAACTTAATTTGAAATATTTATGGCTCACTTAGTACCAAGAGTGCAGAGTACAGAAATGGCCTAGAGAAGGGCTGTCTGTCCTAGAGGATATAGAGCATGCTAAGGAGTCCAAAGGGAGTCCATGGAATTGACATTGGCTTTCTGTGACTGTTCTGGGTCATTAACCGCACACTAAACCAGATTTCTGTCACAAGCTCCTACTCACTGAGAGAATAACTACTCCACTTTCATCCTTTGCCATGGGCTGTCAGGTCTGCACACAACCGCATGGGATTTCTCTCCTTCCCTGCTGGCTCCTGAGGAAGAAGCTGCACTGCTCTCCCAGAGGAGAGTGGTGGTGGTGTGGCTGCCTCTAGGCTTCTGCCTCCGGGGCTGCTTGTACAGGTCAAGTGGGAGGGCAGGGCAAAAAGATCAGAGGTTAAGAGGACAATAAAGAAAGGAAAAAGAGAAAGAGAGAAAAAGAAAAAGAAAAAGAAAAAGAAAAAGAAAAAGAAAAAGAAAAAGAAAAAGAAAAAGAAAAAGAAAAAGAAAAAGAAAAAAGAAAAAGAAAAAGAAAAAGAAAAAGAAAAAGAAAAAGAAAAAGAAAAAGAAAAAGAAAAAGAAAAAGAAAAAGAAAAAGAAAAAAGAAAAGAAAGTCTCCTGCAGGGGCAGGAGGGAGAGCTGCTCAGAGTCCTGAGAGAAGGCAGGTGGGAAGCAAGAGTACACTACTGTGCCAAGCTCACGGAGGATTTTGTCTTGGCTGGGTTTTTTCCCATACCAACTAGGGTGTCAGAGAAGGCGTAGATCCAGCTCCCGGTCTGACTCAGTCCTGGGCATCACCTGTGTTTTCCCAGGGAGCCCTACACTTCTGCTGGGCAGCATGGGCTGGGGGCTGTGTCCATCAGAGCCTCCTGAGAAATGAAGCAGCTGAAACAAAAAGTGAATTATGAAAAGCAGTAATGGAAGTAGTGGAAATAAATACAGGGCAGCTAGGTGGTTTCTCAAAATAGAAGTAGCTGACTACTTGCATTGTATTCCAGACCCAAATCTTCTTCTGACTAAATATTCCACTAAAAGTCAATGTTAGGAAGCAGTTACTTTCCAGCAACATAAGAATTCAGTAACATGATTGGGGCCTTATGAGTGGAGGAGCCTTTCAGGTATGTTTGGATGGTTTATTCTCATCTAGTGTAACAGGAAAGACCTCCTGTACAAAGACAGAGAGACAACTTGGTTGGTTCATGGCCTTCCACCCATCAGTCTTGTACTTAGTTTTCCTAATGTTATGCCAAGACTGTATAAAAAATAAACCCTTTCTATGTTTCCATTTCCAGGAGCCATCCATGGGCCACGGGGAGGTTCTGCTCTCTATTAGCTACCTGCCAGCAGCTAACCGCCTTCTGGTGGTGATCATTAAGGCTAAAAATCTCCATTCCAAGCAGCTGAAAGATCTACTTGGCAGTGGTGAGTGTAATAGCAAGGAAATAGAGACTGTTGCTTCTGCTATTATGTAAATCTAGAAAGAAAGTGGGAAGGGTGATGTTCAGCAGAAAAAAAAAAAAAGTTTGGCTTAGAAAGCCAAAGAGATTTGAATAATTTCTAAAAAATGAAAACCAAATATGCCCAAGATCAATATTTCTTATGTGGTCTCTCTCAGACTGATGTCACCAGTGTCAATTCTCTTGCATTTTTGGGTGTAGTCTTGGGCACCACAAAATAAAAAGATCATTAAGCTCCTGGAGACCATTCAAAGGAGGGCCACAAGGATGGTGAAGGATATGGAGGGGAGGCCTTACGAGGAGCAGCTGAGGTCATTTGGTTTGTTCAGCCTAGAGGAGATGAGACTGAGGAGAGACTTCATTGCAGTCTACAATTTCCTCATGAGGGGAAGAGGAGGGGTAGGTACTGATCTCTTTGCTGCAGTGACTAGTGACAGGACTTGAGGAAACAGCACAAAGCTGAGTCAGGGGAAGTTTAGGTTGGATATCAGGAAAAAGTTTTTTACTCAGAGGGAGGTTGAGCACTGGAACAGGCTCCCCAGGGAAGTGGTCACAGCACCAAGCCTGTCTGAGTTCAAGAAGCTTTTGGACAATGCTTTCAGGCACATGGTGTGATTCTTGGGGTGTCCTGCGTAGGGGCAGGAGTTGGACTTGATGGATCCCTTCCAACTCAGCATATTCTAGTCTAGTATAGTCTAGTCTAATCTATTTGTTGCATGCTCATTAATTTGGTGTCTTTTTCAACTTCCTATACAGATGTTTCTGTCAAGGTGACACTGAGGCATCAGTCCTTGAAGCTGAAGAAGAAGCAGACCAAACGTGCAAAACACAAGATCAACCCAGTGTGGAATGAGATGATCATGTTTGAGGTGCCTCATGAGCTCCTGCGTGCCTCCAGCGTAGAGCTGGAAATGCTGAGCCAGGATGGCGCTGGCCAGGGCCATGTGCTTGGCAAGTGCAGTCTGGGCTTACATGTCACAGGTACAGAGAGGAACCACTGGGAAGAGATGCTGAGGAACCCCAGGAGACAGATAGCCATGTGGCACCAGCTCCACATGTAGGCTCATCATGATTACTGACAAGATTTACACCAGGCCTCCAAGCCTGGGGGAATAAGTTGCATTCCACCTTCCATCTTCCCCTCCTCAAAGTTTCTCAGCACAGAACTCTTATTACATCACCCTTCTCTGATTTTCCTGCCCATCCTGACCAGAGAAACTGTCTGAAAAAGGTATTTAAAGGATAATCTCTCACCTAATTAAGTGGTTGTCTCAAACAAGAGGTTTGGCTGCCTGGATGATTTGAATGAATTTTATTAGCCTGCCCACCGTCATTTCAGTGAGGTCCCTGTTTCTGTAGCAGAGCAGAGGGGAGCAAAGTTACCATGGAACTGTAAGCCACTCATTGGCATCTGGCACTGTCCCCAGGTCCCTTGATGAGTGCTGGCTCCATAATCACACACAACTGTTGTACCAGTTACTGCTTCTCATAATACCTTACAAGACTGAGAGAAATGAAGATCACAGGACTAACTGTCATGGCAGACACAAAGTATCAGTATGAAAGAGAGAGTGAAGCCAACGTGCAGTAAAGGGATACCTAGAAAAAGATACAGAACTAAGGGAGAGAACAGAGAAAGAGGAAAGGGTGAGACAGTCAACACCATCATCCTGTGCAGCCTTTGAAGCAAACACTGCCAAACAAGAAGTCAAACACCTTACTTCACTTTTGTTTCCTGGAGAGTTCAATACCTTGTATTTAGGATTCATGAAAACTGCTGAAAATATGAATGTTTCAGGACCCTTTAGCAGAATGCCTATATCCTTTTATCTTTCTATAGTGTCACCCAGGAAGACCCTAAACACAGACAAAAAGTTATTGTCGACGTTACCTCCAAAAACTTGGACCAAATCTTTCTGTTTACTGCCATCTTTCCTGTTTGTTTTTTTTTCTGAGCTAGAAAGTTTCAAATACTCTAAATATATTTCACGCAACATCTAAAACTAGGTAAAAGAAGTGGGATCATTTCATACCTTAGCTGCTGATGGATGGTTTTGGTTTGACAGTTACTATTGCACTCAAATATTCATACCAGCATTACTCGAAGACAACCATTAAGAACTGCCATGTATTTCATCACTTCCAGACAGAAGGAATTCACTGAACAGACAGACTCTCCAAGGCTTGTTTTTTCTGTGTGCACTTTCAAGATTTGATGTGGCTTAAATGTTATTTTTTACTGCCATTTTTGGGTATGTAGATGGACTGAAAGTCTGGCATCAGCAGTGATGATGTCATGACCCCATAAGCACACTGTCTGTCCTACTACTTCAAGGGACTTCCATGGGGACAAGGCACCCAAAAATCTGAAAACAGAACCATATAGTCCACAGCACTAAAAATCTCAGAGAACTTCATACTTGCTGGGTCAGATTGACCCTCCATTTAAATCAAAATACTAAGCTAAGCTTTATTTAGCATCCAGCCCATTTTGATGGTGCAGTCAAATAAGTCTAGCAGATAGTCAAGTGAAGGCTGCCATCCTGTTGGCAAAGGGAAAACACCAGAACCAGTGTCTGAAAACTGGCTGATGCACCAGGCACAAAGGGTTATGAACAGGGGAATGACGTTCAGCTGGAAGTCAGTAACTAGTGGTGACGCAGGCTGGTAGTGAGACTGACACTGTTTACCATCTTCATAAATGAGCTAAACAACGGGGCAGAGCATGCCCTCAGTAAGTTTGTAGATGGCACAAAACTGGGAATATTGGTTGAAAGGTGAGGCAGTTTTGCTGACATTCAGAGGGATGCTGAGAGGCTGGAGAAATGGGCTAACAGGAACCTCCTGAAATTCAACAAGGAGAAGGCAAAGTCCTGTACCTGGGGAAGAAAAACTCCATGCACCAGTGAAGAAGTGAGGGCTGACCACCTGGAAAGCAGCTTTCCAGAAAAGGATCTGGGTGTCCTGGTGGACACCAAGTTGAACATGAGCCAGCAGTGTGGCCTTGTAGCAAAGAAGGCCAACAGTGTCTTGTGCTGCATTAGGACAAAAATTGCCAGCAGGTCAAGGGGGGTGACCCTCCCTCTCTATTCAGCTCTGGTGAGGGCATATCTGGAGTGTTGTGTCTAGTTTTGGACTCCCGATTGCAAAACAGATATGGAGTTTCTGGAAAGAGCATAGCAAATGGCTATGAAGATGTTTAAGGGATTGGAGCATCTTCTATAAGAGGAGAGGCTGAGAGAGCTGGAACTGTTTAGATCAGTCTGTATAGATACCTGATCTGGGAGAGGACAAAAGAAGATAGAGCCAAACTCTTTTCAGTAGTGTCCAGTGACAGGACAAGAGGCACAGGCACAAATTGCAATATAATAAATTCCATTTGAACACATGAAAAAAATTAAAGAAGAAAACCCCATTTCAGTGTGAGGATAGTCAGATACTGGAACAAGTTTCCAAGAGAGGTTGTTGGGAGTTCTCATCCTCAGAAACACTCAAAATCTGATGGGATATAGCGTGACAAACCTGCTCTAATTTATCTCACTTTGAGCAGGGCTGGGTTTGGACAATATGATCTCCAGAGGCCCTTTGTATCCTCAGTAATGCTGTGACTGTGAAGAGATTGACAATGTTGATGCACACTGAAAACTATTATCTTTATACTACTATTCCCTTTATGGGTGGTGTAGCCAGGAGTTACAGGATCATTTTGGAGAAGATAAAACCAGCTTTGACCAAGCAGACAAACAGAAAAGCTAAGTATGCCAATAAATATTATGTCCAATGTTTTAATCTCTGATATTGATCTACTGGCTAGAGGAGACGTAAACAAAAAAGAAAAATGGCTTCTTTTTTTGTTCTATGGGATTTTATTTATTAACAAAAAGCTGTAGGATACTGTGTGTAAACTAGACACAGGGGTCTAGTGGATAGTGAATTCTTAATAGTTGCTGTGATCATGATTTGCTTGTAGATATACCTATAAATTTGGAATAATTGTTTCCATTTAAGTGCAAAATTCATTGGAATGTTGGCCTACTCTACGTATAGGTTCCTGTCAGTACTGTGATTCTTTTGGGGATAATGACAAGAAGGATAACTTCATGGTAGGATACTATTTGGCTGGTGCTGGAAAGCCTGAAGGCCCAAATATTTGCCTTGCTGCCAAGAGATTCCTCTAGCTCTGCATCCTGCTTATTTTACTGAGACTTTTATAACATCTTGATGGCTGATTGTAAACAACATTATCTGCCTGTACCCTGGTGATTTTGGCACACCCTGTAACAGATAGCAGTCCTATAGCACTTAAAAGCATAGCTCCTCAGAATCTGACTTAGCTGTGACAAAACAATGTCCTCTTTTACAACAAAATCTTAACCACAAATCTGTCTTAGGAGCAAAGTGGTGTCAGCAGTGTTAATGAATGGCATTGTTTCCTCCTTTGCTGCAGTGGGATTTAATGGGAAAGAGAGAAAGAGTGAAAATGCATGCATCTTTCCCAGCTGGATCATTCTTGTTGCCTGGCATTTTAGCCTGGAAAGAATATTCTTCGCCATCAGTGCAGCCTGAACAAAGGCTGCCAGGCGTCCCTGGAAGGAGGCAACCACTCACCGGGACTGACAGCAGACATGGACACATAATGGGTGTGAGGAGCTGAGGAATGCTGCGTACGTGTGTTACCGGAGGGGCAGGGATGCCCAGCCCGGCTCTTCTGAACTCTGCTAATTGGAGCTGTTTGTCATCACATTCAAGCGTCTGTCCAGGGCTCTGCCCTCATCCCTCTGAACTGCCTGTGTAGCAATACTTGTGTGCCCCTGAGTCTCAGCACCCCAAGGGCCAGAGGTGCTAAACTGCCCTAGCAGACAAACAGCGGGGAGTGGTTTTGGTAGATGACAACATCATGAATATAAATGCGAAGTATTTGGAAATGCCATTGTATCAAGCAGCTTCAGCAACACAAGCTGTCCAAGTATCACTGAAGTGCAATAAGGTCAGAGGATGGAGCCAGGCAGCCCTACAGTTTTCAGTTCGTGGAACTGAAAATACAGGAGGATCATTAAACACCACTACGTATTAAATTAAAGGCTGCTGCTTATAAATTGCATCATAAGAGAAGAGGGAAAAAAAACCAGTTATGGCAATTAATGTTCCTAAGATATATGTGTGACCAAAAGCAGCCATTAGAGTCCCCAGTGGCTAGTCTGTGGTTGGACTGGTTATTATGCCTGCTATAACCATTAACATGAAGAAGCTGGAAGCCAAGAGACTGTAGGGAGGAAGGGAAAAAAAAAAAAAAAGGAAGGCATGGGGCAGTCTACTTGGTCAGAATGAATGATACTTTTCACTAAGGGCCAGATTTGTGAGTTTCAGGACAGAGATCCCTCATCCAGTGACAAACCCAAACATCATGCCTGTTTGTAAAACAGAACGAGAAATGCAGCTCCCCTATTGTATCCAGCTTCCCCTGGGAGAGGTGGTCTCCTGCTGTGGCCTCTGTTCAGAGGAGGGGACTGAGAGGCCAGAGGAAATAACCTGTGACTACATTAAGGAGTTCCTTGGTTAAAATATAGATTGTAGCTGTATTTTGCTTTGCCTTGACCTGCCCTCAAAGCTGGATCTTCCCAGGGAAATTATCTAGTTTGATTTTAGGCAATTTCTGCTTGAGTAGAAGGATTAATAAGCACAAGTCATCAATAGTCACCAAAATATCTCTGGGATGTTTTAGACTCATTACTACTCTCAGCACCCTTCTCCAGTTGTAAGGGGAGTGCTCCCCTGTAAGGGTAACACTTTTCCAGTGCAGAGTTTTCCCCTCAGTTGTTGTCCCAAATATCCTTGCATGGTGATAGGAACCATGTTTGTTTTGCAGAGAGGTAATACATCAGAAAGTAATGGAAAATTCCCTTCAACAGGGCTGGGAAAATTTTCAGGCTGTACTATTCTCCTAGATACTACTGTGCTTTCAACATCTTGTTGAACAGTACCTTGCATTTTGCTAGCATCTCTCATCAGTATTATCTGGAAGTAGTGTTCAAAACCACTAATTTTTTTTTTTTTCAGAATGAAGTGGGTTGTAATTTGGGCTCTAGAAATATAGCCCAAGGTTTGCCCAAATTTTCCTGAAGTCTGAGTTGAGTACAATAACTTAATACGAGCTGGAAGCTAAGTGGCTTGGACCATGCTTCTTGCACTCTTTTGAAGGTCAGTTTGAAGTTTGGTTGAATTAAAGGACAGAGCTTTGATAGCATTTTTCATGTGTTTCAGAATTTAACTAGGTATTAAAATGTATTTGGTTCATTTGCTGAAAGATAAATGTGATGAGTAAATAGTAACACTCGACACAATATTATTTCTTCTGTTTTCAAAATGCACAAGAATAGTAACAAAGTGAAATAGTGATGTGTGGCCTTTCAGCATGAAGAGGCTTTTTTACTTACTTGGTCCTTTAGTGTCCCAGTGTGTTTATTGTACAGAGCCAGATATTGTTTGTCAAGACCGTATATTGTTCTCACAATCCAAAGCACAAAACCAGAGCATGATGCTCAGCCATTGTGTCTAATATTACAGCACATCTAAAATACTGCAAGTAAATAATTCCAAGCTGTACCAACACTGTGTCTGCATTGTTTACTCTAGGGTAAGTCCCCTCTGCTTGCAGGTCATGTCAGGGGTACAGAGTGCTGGGATGAGTTAACAGAAGATCCTCTGAAGGGTGTCATCAAGGGATGGGTATATGAGAAGGGGAGCAGTCAGCAATAGAGTCCTATCCTGGGCAAGCATAGGCAATCTATTGGCTTCTTCAGCAAGGTGGCAGGTAAACAAAGCTGTAAAGGCTTTCCAGCAGCTGCAAGGAGGTTAGTGAACAGGATCTAGGAACCAGGTTCCTCCCAGATACTGGTTCTCTGAAACAAAACTAAGAAATTAATTTAGATCCTTTTTTTTTTCCCAATCTCAGTACTGGTGGTGTTGTTGATACTCTGTAAACCATGAATCCGTAAGGAGGAATACATACTTAGCTGACCTAATACCATCACCGGAATTAGCTGGTTCCTAACAAGACATAGAGATCAAAGACTGCACATAAAAGTAAGAGAAAACAGATTTTTGGAGCAGGATTGGGAAGTATTTACTCCACTGACAGTTTGGGGGCACTCTCTCACCCATCACAGTCAGTGCTAAAGCACAAGGAGAAAAAACAAAGGCAGTCTGCTGGAGCCCCAGGCTGCTACTGGCTTTGTATAGAGGGGTGCCACCAGCCTGTCAGCTGCACAGTGAGGCTGATGCCACTGAAGAATTTTCTGTAGAGGCGAAGGGAAAGGAGCTCTGGTGTTGTTGCACGAGGAGTTGAACACAGGTGGTGCATTTGCCAGGGACAATCCTTCCTACCTGGGGGATTCATGCAGGGTTACTCAGTAATTCCCAGCCCAGTGTATTGGAAAGCAGCAATAGTTGCCACAGAACCATTCTTCTCTTAACCCTGCTGTTCACTGGCACTTCAGATTTATTAGAAGTTTTCCCCCCCCACCCCCCCGGTATTTAAAAATTAAAATGGAACTGTTCCCTAATCCTCTGTCTGCCAGGAGAGAGTGTAACCTAATCCAGCCATTTCTGGTGCTAGCCCTGAAGGTCTGCAGCCAGTTCCTCCACTTCCCTGAACTCCTAGTGATCAGTGAGGACAGGGCTCCAAGGTGCCATTGAGAAGATAGGTCAGACCTGAAACCTACACACAATCCAGTTTTCCAGACAGCTCTCCCAAACACCACAAAGTGCAATTGTGGTCTGGAGCACAGCTCTGCAAACCCTGACCCTCTGCTGCACATGGCTCCCCCTCCCAGCACTGGGACCTCCGTGAGGCTCTCCCACCCCTGTGTACCTCCAGAGGTACCACCAGCGTCCCCAGAAATAGGGCGTCTGACAGCCATGCAGACACCACATTTGTTTTTCCTCTTGATCGTAACAACTTCAAACAGGAAACTTCAGAGAATCAAAAAGTCGTTAGTGCATATGCTGTTCTGTGGGAGCCTTTGATTATCCTGCAGATATTTTTAGAGCCCCTCATAAATGAACTGCAGCTCTATTTGTGTTGCAACAGCTCTGCCAGAAACAGCCTCTGGTCCCCTGTGCTCACTGCTCGGTGCCACCGCAGAGCTGGACCTGGCGCTGCCCAGACACCCTGCCTCTACCTCCTGATTTAAACACCTTGGGGGGGCACCTGTTTAAATCCACAAAGCTGCCCATGCTTTCCCTTCCACCTCAGGAGAGTCAGATAGGGAAGACAGCCCTAAGAAAGAGCTGCAAACCCCCTCTGGTTATGCCTGCAAGCTCTTAGCGTCACAGGCACCTGTTCTCCTGTTTCTAGGAAGAAACAACACATTTGGTTTTTTTGCTAAATCAAGTTTCAAGTGCCAGCTGCTGACAACAGCCATCTCCATGAAGCATGTCCAGGATACCAGCAGAGCTGGGGAAGGGCATGCCAGGCTTTAACACTATGACAACCATCACAGAGGAATTTTTTCAATTTTCATTTCGCTCTTATTGGCATGAGAATCAGTGGTCCTAAATAGGAAGGACACCTTTAGCCCTAGATCAGATGAATTTGTGCAAGTTTCCTTTCCTGACAAGCTCAGACTGTGCACTTTGCTTTAAGGGATCTTGTTTTAAGTCCTTGGTTTGAAGTTATCGGGAAGGAGGCTGATCATTGCCAGTGGTAATGAACAAGAGTCTACAGCTCAAAACTGCCTATTGGAAACGAATTACAACCCAGCAATGCATTTCACAAGCAGCTCTGACTCTTTACACATGGTTGAGCTGCTGAAAGTGAAGCATTGTCCTGCTTTGTGTGCTGCCAATTGACTAGCAAAGTCAAAACACCAGAGATGAAGTTTCAAGCTCTAACTGCCAGGTGCCCAGCAAACCTAGAGCCCGTTAAACTGAAGCTAAGCCCTGACAACCACTGGGATTTTGATGGGTTTGCTTACTGCTCAAAAATAAGTGATTTTAAATCACTACAGTGAAAGTTGCCAGAAAATGGCAAACTGTAATATGTGGAGTGCTTGATGACTTCGGTGAAGTCCCCAAAACAACCTTTTCTTTTGGATCACTAATTTGGGATATTTTCACTTCTCAGTCTAAAAACTGCCATTTGCTTCCAGCTCCTGTGGCCTCTCTCCATTGGTAAAATTTGGAGGCATTTGCTCTGAAACCAAAGCTTCTGCGCAACCCGTTACCTGTGGGGACTGATGGGTCCACTTCCATGCTTCTCCTGGGCCTAGAGTCCTGTAAGCCCAAACCTCCCACAAAGCCAGAATTTCCATCCAAATTTCCCCTCCTTTGTGAGGACTAGCAAGCTGCACTGGCACCCTGCAACCAGAACAGCCACCAGAGCAATACAGCTAGGCATCAAGTTAAAGCCCAAGACTATGAGCACTCATATGACTGTGGAACCTCAAACAGAGAGCAAAACTCTTTTTATACCATATGTATCTATTGCATAAACCCTTGCTAGAGGGGTAAACTGCTTGCCCACTCCATCTAACACTTGTTTATACACTGGTATCCATTCCCAAGACCAACTGGAAAACTTGGATCTCTCACACCTGATTAAATTAAAGAGCCAGTCCTGTTGATGCTTTCATTTCTACATAATGAAGCTCAGCAATACTACTGGTATCAACACCTGCAGTACACAGTGCCACACACAGGATCTACACCGTCAGCTCCACAGATTGCTCCTGTTCTCTGCTTCCCCCCTGACACATGGACACATTTACAACTGAGCAATCAACTCTTTGTGCTGGAAGGGGTTTTTTTCTGCCTATGTTTCTCTCTAGCTATGGTTGCCACCCTGCAGCAGGGGTGGCCTAAACCTTTGCAAGGTTGTCCCTGCTTGCTCTACCATGCAAACCTGAGCTGCAGTGAAGGAAGGGTGACCCATAATCCCTGTGGTGCCTTTGCCATGGGCCGTATCCCCAGTAGAAGCCAGGCTCAGCCCAAGGAGGCAATGTTTTCAGCCCAGTGTTAATCCATGGACACACATATGTGTTTCAGAAGTTGTCTCTCTCACCCACACTGACTTAGCAGATGTAAGACCCTCCATGTACAAGATTAGTCTTATTTCATTGAACTGTTTTAAAAGTTGCACTTTTAGCTAATCCACTGTGAACCCAGCCTCAAGCCAAACTTCACATCAAAGAAGAACAATCCAAAGTTAAGCCAGCCCTTTATTTTAAGATACAAAAAGTCCAGTTTCCCCTGGATTTGGAGCACGTAGAGCTCAGGAAAAGTCTCTCCATCCTTCAAACCAAACCAGGCACACATGCAAGGTTTTGTAAACATGCATTACAAGCACAGCCCACCACAGCAAAGCCAACAATAATGCCACTGTACTTGACTAGAAAGGGAGCACAGAGCCTCAAGGGCACTCACTCTGCACCCCTAACCCAAAAATAGCATGTTCTGACATAGCTGCACTGGTGCTGACCCAGGGCAGCGTTGGGCTGCTGGAAGGTGTCAGCTCCTGTTCTGCAGGCTGCAGTCTTGGCACAGAACCAGCATAATCCAGCCCATGGTGAAATGATGCAGCTCCATCACAGGATATTTTGGACCTGATCACTGAGGTGAGGTTGTTGAGGGGCTGCAGTGACACTCAGCATGTGAGGGAGCCAGTCACTCAGGAGGGAGAACTACCAGCACCTCAAAGGGCTGCAATTAACCCTTCTCAATTAATTAGGACTGGATCTGCTCCTTACAATCCTGGGCTGGGGAAGTCAGAGCGCATCAGCTTAGACAACCTTGGTCTGGGAAAATGACATTAACTTTCAAGAACAATTTAAATAAATAGCAAGCCAACTTGATAAATTTAATTTTTTTTTATTAACAATCATTTTACATTACAAGGATAATATGACAAAAGGAAAGTTCTCGTGTACATACTATGATATATCAACATAGCTCTATTCGTATCCAGTGTCCTAGGTCCTTTCACACAGGTACTATAAAGCATAGTCTGTAAAGTAATAACATTTTAATGTTCTCGAAAAGAGTGATATTAACATATTAATACATATGTAGTAATAGACATCTAGATATTTTTCTCTCATTTCATATGTGTGTGTGTTAGGTGAGTGGGTGGGTGAGAGATCGCTTGAAACAGTTCAGCAGGGCTGTGCTTGGATGTGGATACAGAGAGGTTTGAGATAAAGCCTCGTTTTCTGGAAGTAGAAATGCATTTTTGCTAACTGTCGGGTGAGTCTATGAGGATGCCATGACTGGCAGAAAACTCTGTAGCCCTCCTGTAGCATTTGGGACATTACAGCATATGAGACATGGTTCCCCCACATAGCCCAGCGAGCTTATTTGACATGAGGTGCAGTGCATGGGAGCCCCTCGCCGGGCGGCAGCACCACCGGCACAGGCGGTGGGGAGGCGAGGCCGCGGGCTGAGCTTACATGAGTGTCAGTGGCATCTGAGGAGGGGGCTGGGAGTGAGAAAACTGTCTCTGAGGTTTGTGAGGAACAGGTGCCGAGGAGATCCCCGTGGTGCTGCACAGCTGAGGGGCTGTGGCAGAGTGGGGAGCTGCCGCCAGGCAGGGGCGGCTGAGGTGGATTACCAGTTGTGTGGAGAAGAGAGGCCTGGGAGAGGGCACTGAGGTGTGTGACAGGGCTTGGGGGGAGCTTGCACAGTGTCTGCTCAGGCAATACCAGTGTAACAAGTCATTCGGACGTCAGAATTACAACTCACCCTCCTCCAGACTGAAGTCAACAAATAAAACAAACGGCAAGGAGTGCAGTGGTTGCCAGGCCTGGCATGGAGCTGCAAAGGCAAACCTCCTCCTTCAACCCTTGTGGGGAAGCAGCTCACTGAGTAACCACCAGCTGCCAGACTGGCCAGAGGCACCTCGTGGGTCCTTTCCGGAGTCAGCCAAAGGCTTCAGGATGCAGAAGGGTCAGTGGCCTACAAGCAGCTGTGTGAAGGGAGGGATGGAGGGATGAGGCAGCTATCCATCCCACAGGCATCGGGAGACACCAGACTGATCCATTGTTTGGATCCACTCCCATCCCAGCATGGAAATGCTGGTCATGGGAAAATAGGTGACTCTTTGCATGGGAAGGGCAAGAGGGCTGCACCCTTCGGTGCTTCAGCCTGGTAAGGTCCATATGCTGTGTGTAGGGGCCCAAAGGCACACATGCATCACTGACCATGTCTTCCACACAATCACATCAATCCCTTTCCTGTAGAAAACCTCCCTGGGACCCCAGCCAGGCAGGCTCCTCACCAGCTGAGGAGTAGCTGTGAGACCTGAGGGAGCAGTCAGTCTGACCCAACAGAGTTGAATGTGCCTCCCCAGTGGGGATCACACACTCCCATCCATATTGCTCCAAATTCATGGTTCCTTCTCATTCATATTGCTCCAGCTCCATATACCATCCCTGCCATGTCCGACTGTGTGGCAGTAACTTTCCCTCCGCTCAGTAACACCTTTGCTCTCCTGCTGCCTTTATCCTGGCATCATGGCTGTATCACTGATCGTGCCTCCAGGTTAACCCACGCTCTCACTGCGTGCTGTGTGAGCACTGGCCAGTGCAGGGTGTCCCTAGCAGTGTGCCGGCAACTACTGAGGAACACCAGGCGGAAGAGCAGAAAGCCACATTTCCACAGCACCAGCACCCACTGTTGTTAAATGCATCCATGCAGAGAGACAGAAGTGTATATGAGGGTGGGATATGTATCTGTCCAAGTGTGAACACACAGGACCTCAGCAAGAGGCTTACTTGGGAGAAGACAAGGACACTCGAGCATTTTTCCCTACCAAGACATTCCTCTATTAAACAAACCTTATTTATCACTTGGGTAACATGCCAGCAAACACAGCAAAGCCCCTCTCCATAGAGTGCTGTACATGTAAATGTAGGCCTCAGTGTATGGCTAAAACCATTTCAAAGTCCAAAGTCTTCAGTGTTATATGCCTTGTGCTAGAACACAGGGCCAGCCTTACACAAGGGTGGTTGAGTCTATCTCTATATTATATCTTTATATCTATCGAAAACATAGAAATATATAAATATATAGGATTTTATTTATAGATATATAAGCATGTGATTTTAATCTTTTTTACTGTGTGTATATGTACTGGGATGTGCGTATATACAATATATAGACCATATGCATATGTACTGTATACATACACTAGCTTACATGCACACACATCATACATGTCTCCAAGGGAGACAGGAATTGCATAGGCATTACTGCATTGTATACAATGGCTGGGGGATCAACGTACCATTTCTCTGCTTTTAAGACCTCTTTTGACAGGGCTGAGAGGGGAATCTGCAAAAGCAGAGGCTGTTTCTGCTTATCCGCAAGCTGGCTGTCTAGGCTGTCTTACACACTGGTCAAACAAACAAACAGCAATCCTCATGAGATAAGAAAGGAGGGGGACTCCAAAGACCCCACGGGCCACCTGGTTGAGTTTGTGCTGTGAGAAAGAGATGGACCAAGCCTGAATCATGTCTGAATAGTCATATCAGCAAAAGTGTGACCAGCACGGGGGACACTGCCGCAGTCAGCTCAAGATCCAAGGCAGATGACATACCAGGACCCTGCCCACTGCGTCCCCTCACAACCCACCATAACTCCAGTGTGCTTTTGCTGGTATGGGAAGAGCTTTGGTCTCTTGTGAAGATTATCCCTGCTGAGGTCAGTCTCATGGCTGGAGGGCCCAGACCCCTGCAGACACTGGCAAGCCCTGCAAAAGGACGTCTGAATGTGCTTCACGGATTTCTGCTTCACAGCAGGGTAAAAGAGGCAAGGAGCCTGAGCAAAAAGTGGGGAAGGGAAATTGGCAACCAAAAATCCCATGGGCCAGAAATACAAACCCAAGGGTCTGGAGAAGTGTGCATTATTCACAGTCAGATGCCATAGCTAAGATGCAGGGGGAAGAAGAGAATAAAGAGCTCATTTGAGAAAAACTGAACCCTTGTGTCTTTGCAGCGAAACAAGTTCAAGATGCTGTGAGCAACACATTCAAAACAATTTCCTCTCACTCGCTCAGCACAGCAGGAAAGGCATCGATTAAACCTGATGCATGGTGATCTCCAAGCCAAGGAGGCCTCCTCCTGTGCTCCACTGTGTGCTCCCTACGCCTGCTGCTGCCTCCTGGCCTCACTGACACCAGGACAGGCCTAGGCAAACAGGGCACAGAAATGCACCTGCTCCCAGGAAAGTCTGGGGGGTACTGGTAAGCCAGGGGCATTTTGCATCAGTATTCCTCCCTCCTCCCTATCTTGCTTATGCTGGCACATTTCCATCCGCAGACTATCCATCAAAGTAAGAGCTAGAGATCTGAGATAGGCAAGTAACCCTGGAGGGAAAGCTTGCAAAGCACCTGCATTAGCCTAGGAAAAAGGCCAGGATTATTTTCTGATGGGGGTGTAACAGGGAATTGTGTTGAAGGAGCCGGCCTGGGCTGGGCCAGCTGCTCTGCCAACCTCTTGTCTCTCCCCATCACCAATGCAAGGGGTCTCTGACCTTTCCCATCATGAATATCTGCAACATCCAGTGGCAGGGAATCATGCTTCCTACTGACATTGCTTGCAGGAATAAGCAAAGTTATTTGCTAAAGAAACAAGCACTTTCCCTGTGTCAGCTGACTGCCTGGAGAAAAAATCCCACCTGCTGTACATTTCACTCTGCCATTAGGAATAACAGCTGCCGATGAAAGGTATCACTGATGAGAGCAGGATTTGCAAATGAAGCAAAGGAAAGGAGTGACAAATTGGAGGAATCATTTCAGAATAGGGTCTCTGGCAGCTCTTGCCGAGAAGGCAAGGTACCATTTCCTCCCCAGTGGCAAAAGTTAGGAGGCTCAGATCAGGAGTTGTAAACAGGCCCCTCAGGCAGTTCAGCACAAGCCCTGGGGGAGCACTCCTGTCTCCAAAGGTGTCTGGAGTCTGCCCTCAAGTATCCCTTCCTTCCATGTGGGCCAGGCACTTTGATGGGGTTCTGTGCCAAGGAACTTTTGCTGCTGCTAACAGAAAGGCAGGTGATTTTTCGACTCTATCCACAAAGAGCTAATGGAGTTCCTATGGACTCTCTGATCTATGCTCACCTTGCCCATCTCCAGGTTGGAAACTAATGGAGCAGCAATCTTTTTTTTTTTACCTTTTTGCATCTCCTTACATTTTAAAAAGGGAGGAAGCCTGCCGTCTCCTCAACAGGCAGCAGCTCCATGAGCTTAGTGGCAGCACCCTGAGCAGAGCCTATTTACCAGGCCCGGAGAGCTACAAGTAACTCGTGTAGAAAGATCCTTACTTTATGGTCAGGCAAACAACCATCCAAGTCTGCACAGCTGGCAGAGGGTTTCCAGTTTAATATTTACTCCTCTGGATGAATGAGTCAATTTTATCACATCATTTATAGGGAAAAACAGAAAAAATGCAAACAAAGCCATTTTTTTGCTTGCTAGGTGTTACATATCGACGTCCCTGTGCTGTGACAGTGTGATGCCCTGACCTAGCTTGTGACATTTCCATGAGGACCACAGGGAAAAGCACTCAGTGCCTACAACCTTGACAGCACTTTGGCAAAAGGTGGATGGCGCTGGCGCAGGTGCCCCCTCCTGCCCGAGCTACCCTCAGGCTGCACATGCTGTCAGAGGTAAGGCAGAGGGAATAAGTGCTACAGAGGGTACGCTGCCTGACCAGCTCTCGCTGCTATATTCACAGGGTCTACTCTACTCCACTGGGACTGCCTGACCAAAAGGCCTCATTTTACAGAAAAGGGGGCAGAGTCTGAGCACAAGGATGAGCCACCACTAGTGATTTGGGTGGGCTCAGTCCCTCCTCAGTCCTATAGGGACAGGGGCAAACACTTCCAAAACCCTGATCAACATCAGTCTAGCTCTTCCTGTGGGATGTGAAAGCTGAACCAGTCCGTAGTGGCTTGGCTGCATGCCTCTGCCCAGTGCTGGCTGTGAAGTTCTACTGAAGGCAAAGGGGTTAGCAGGAGGTGAGTGAGACCTAGGTAGAAGTGTGTGTTTTCCTGGGGAAGACAGTGCGTGAACCCTGGCAGTGAAAGTGACTCTGAGAGAGATCGGTTCCAAACATGCTACATCTCCATTGAAAACAAACAAAAACGTTTAAAAAATAAAATAATATTATATATATATATATTTTTATATAAATGAAAAGCTATCATCTAGCAGCAACGGTTCTAGAGATATCTTAGCACCAAGACCAAGGGCAGGGGGGTAACAGGAGAAAGGAAAGGTTCAGTGTTGCTGATACCACCATCATGTTTCCAAACAACACAGCTTGGCACAAAGCTCATCCCTCTGGGAAGTGAGAACATGTTGGCTTGGACACCTTTTGGACAACAGGTCTCACCCCCATGATGGTCTGGTCAGGTTGGTGCTGTCCATGCCACATCAGCAGGGCAAGGCACTAGCATCTGTGGAGTTTTTGCACCTTTTTTGTTTGTGTGGTTTGTGTTTTTTCTTTTTTTTTGGTTGGTTGTTGCTTTTTTTATTCCTTTTTTTTTTCTTTTCTAACCTGAAGTGATATTGTGTGGATGCCTGGAGCTTGTTTACTTTAAAAGAATAAAACAAAAAAGAGCCCCAAGCCCACAGAACAATCTCTTTGTGATGGAAGGTGCAAGTCCCCCATTCACATTTCAGCTGGACTCCACATTCCTTCAAGAAAGGAAGAAAGATTTCGCAGGAAGAAGCGGAGCATCCCTTCTTCCTGCTGTCATCAGTCTGCTGTGCTGTGGAACATGTTACCTTGGTCACAAGAGAATACGTGAACCTTTGTAGGACATCATCACATGAATATAATCCAAGATAATCTTGCATTGATAACTCCTGCCACCAAACTGCAGCAGGTTTTTCTTTCAGTCATTCCAAACAAAACAAAACAAAACAAAACAAAAAACCCACAACAATCTAGGATTATAAAGACATAGTATAAATAATGTAAATTAGAATATAATTTTTTAAGCCTTTGAATCTCCGCCCAGAGATGGCTCTCGACTCATTGGCTGTCTAGCTTCCACAGCAGCCCTGGTTTTGAATGAATAGTTGTATATATATATATATATATATTTATCTCATACAATATAAAAATATAAATGCAAAAATTTCCCCCTGCCTTCTCTATTTTGCTATTCTATAGTCTGCACATGACATCATGTTATAATATATGTATAATAGACTGGTATTATGGTTATCATAAACAGAGCTGAAAGCCAAGTATTACTCTACAGCCCAAAGGTAGGGAGAACTGAGAAAGGGGCATCACAGTTTAATGGAGACACTTGTTTCTAAGTCAGAATAAAAACCCAAAATCATGCCCTCAGCTCTTCCCTCCTGCCAGTAATCTCTTGAGAGAAAAAAGCTTCCATTCAACTGAAGAGAACTGGGTGGAGCTGGGAAGCTTAGGGCAACATAAACACACGGGATGCTCTGTCGGAAATCAGAAATGTGATGGTTGCCAACAAAAGGCTCAAATGGCTCAATAACTGGACTGAACAATGGAAGGAGAGGCAGAGATTAAAACTGAGGGGAAAACAAATAAACAAACAACCCCAAAACAAAACAAAACCCAAACCCCAACAAACCGACAACACACATACAAAGGAAACCACCGGGAGGATGAGGCTGACAAAGACCCGTTGTGTAGCTTATAGATTGTTAAGTTTGAACATGTAGAGTATGGCCCCAGCACATGCTTCTGAAGAATGAAATGTTGCCACCTACATTGCAGCTGCCATGGTTGGAGACACTAGTAAATGTCTAAACATTGTCTCAATCTTTAAAATTCTGCTTAGCTTCTATCAGACGCACATCGTCTAACTTTTAAATTTTCAGTGTGGGTTTTTCCTTAATATAGATAATATATATATTTTATATAATATATCAAAGTTTAGAGTATAGATTAAAAAATTATTCAACTGCTTTCTGATCTGAGGCATTCCTTCCTAAATATCAGGGTAAAACTCAGAGCCATGGTCCATGCTCTGCAACATCGGCTTCTGATCAAGAGATGACATCCTGCTCAGCATTTCTGCTGACAGCGCATAACTATTACCGGACTTCTCCTCAAACCAACTATCTAGTGCCCTTTTGCAATCAAAGTTAGCAATGGGTGGCCCGTTAACAGCAATTGTCAACAGATCACTGAGCTGCTCCAGCGTGAGCCGAGAGCGGTTGTTCTTGCGCACTCTCTGCAGGGCAGTGCGCCCCTTCTCACAGCAGGCCGAAGAGGTGGGAAGGACTTTGAGGATCTGAACTATTTTATTTAGGAGGGGAAATCTCTGTTTGTATTTACAAATGTGACTAAGCAAGTCTTTAAAACCGTTTTTGGTATAATAATCCACCTTGAGTTCTCGCCACTCCATCAGCAGACTCCCTCGGGTGTCCATCCCCTCTCTGCAAACCTCTCTGGAAAATGATGGGACTGTCTCCAGGTGTTCAAATATTTGTACCATATCCTCCTTCCCATAGCTCATGAGCTCATCAGTGCTTCTGGGCCAAGCTGCAAGGTCAAATACCTGACAGGCCTTCACAAATGTCCGGCTGCGGGAATCAAACCTTTGGGCCAGGATCACCTGGGTCTTTTGGCAGATCTTTTCTCTGATCGACTGGAATTTGGCTTCAGCCACCCGTAGGTTTTTCACAGCAATGCCATTAAAGCTTTCACGGAAGTTTTCCTCAAACTCCTGCAAGTACTCCCCAGGTGAGTCTGCTAGCCGGCTGATCTCCTGGATGGCCTCCTCTATTTTATCATCCACCTGCGACACAAGAAGGTACTCCCCTTGGAAGACGTAGGCAAGGCGTGAAAGCACAGCAATCACATCCAGCAGGAAGTAGATGAGTTTAATTGACTGGTAGTCCATCAGGAACTGCAGGAGGGCCAAGGCAATGGCAGAAGCATCTGCCCTTTGGGTCTGGCCACTGACATCTTTGAGATGGGCCACAACCTCAAGGTAATCCTTGATTAGAGCATTAAGCACATTCTGCTCCCCGATGATCCACTTCACTGCTCGAATGTCCCCCAAGAACTCAGTTTCCTCACACAGAGTGGCAGCAGTGACTCTCAACTCGCACATGAGTCGGGGAGAATAGCGGTAGAAACTGAGCAGCTGCTTCAAATTATTTTCCAGCTCCTCCAAACACGGTAGTTCCTTCCCACTGATGGCATCCAGAATTTCCAAGTGGGGTCTATGCACCATAAAGGGCAGGCAGAGAAGCCAGGGCAAGGTCTTTCTGATTGTCATGAACAAGTTGGCTCTGAGACTGGCAGTAATGTTAGCACCATCAACTCCCAAGCCAACAGTTGGCTTCTCATCCTGCAATCGTATTCCCAGGTTGGAAAAAGCCCGGTCTAATGCTTGGAGGTAACTGTCTGTTGTAGAAAAGCCCAGCTCCTGAAGGGACAGGAATTCAGTTGCCGGAGGCCCATCGCTGCTCGTGTACTGCACATAGACCGCAACCGTGTCTGCAAGCAAATCATCGCTCTGTCCATCCAGAATGATGCTGAGGAAGGGAGACTGCCGGATGCGTTCAACCAGGTCCTCTCGAAGAGCCCGGGCGATATGGTGAATTAAGATTTGGCAGTCTCCTTCATTCATGTACTGATCCACCACCTTGAGTTCACACTTTCTCAGTAGTTCCGCCAGAGGCCGAAAGTCATAGTAGGGCCTGCCCTCTAGGGCCAAGTGGTAGGCTGTATTGAAGAGCAGGGTCATATTTCGGCACATCTCTTCTGTCTTCTCTGGGTGCATCCTGAGCTTGTAAAGCTGCAGGCACTTCTTGTGGAGGTTGCTCTGGCTGTGAAGCTTTATCGTGTGTATCTTGAACTGCTTTGAGCCAATGATGAAGGCTGAAGTCCGAGAGGATTGCACTGTGTACTGTCTACAGACATGGCACCACATTTCATTCAATGTTGGGGAGTACCGCAGAAACCAAAACTTTTTAAGCCACTCTTGCTTGAACCGCCGTATCCTCCGGCCTGTCGCAGAAGACATCTTGGAAGGCTCATCTGTAGCAGCAATCATGTCATTGGAAACTGATTCATCAGCAGAATCCACCTCTTGGTCATCGTCCTCCATGATGGTGGGAACTGAGATGATGCTTTCTGAAGCTGTAACAAAAAAAATAAAAAAAAAAAGGAAAAAAAAATATGGTATTTACAAAGTTGCTGAGCTAGAGAAGCATCCTACTGGTGACAGTAGAGCATTGCCCAGTGAGCTGGACACAACCTCCCCTCTCCTGCCTACAACACATTATGGACAGAATTTGAATCATGGCTTAGAAAGGAAAAGAAGTCAATATTTCTGCATATGAACTTTGTCTCCAACATGCCACAATGAACAGCAAGAAAGGACACTACATCCTGGCCACTTGAACAATACACTGTTTGACCCAAATGTTCCCTTTACTGAAGACTCCTGGCTGCTTGACAGCATGTTCCTGGAGGAAAGGAAATGTATCTTCAGAAAGGGACACATGGTTGTGTTAAGGCAGTGGAGGAAACAGAGAGGGCTTTCCAACAAGGGACACAGCAGGACATCATTTCATATACAAAGAGAGCACATTTCAGTGTTACCACAGAGTCATTCAGATTTTCTTGGTAGCATGTGAGGTATTGTGGAGGGGCTTCCGCTGAAAGAGAATGCATCAAAAATACAGCAAACAAACTGTCTGCAATGGAATGTCTTTTTTATTGACAGTGTATTATCAATTACAATGGCAACAAATAGAGCAAGTTGTCATACAGAGTCTTTCCCAGACAGTGTTTTCCACTGCACCCACAGCATCAGCTCCTGGCCCACCCAGTCACAAAACCTGACAGTGAACCTTCCATGGAACCACAGGTTCACCTGAATACTCAGAGCAAAATGCTTTAGATGGGTACATAGCACACAGGCATCTCACTACTCTCCTTAGGCAGGGTTTGGAGAATGCTCTAACTCGGCAGGGCTTACCTGTGGGGTCTGAGAACTCTTGGAGCTCGGGTACCTGGGGCGGTAACACGGGTGGCTCAGGTAACTTCCCAGATCTCAGCATGTCTAACTCAGCCTGTAGCTCCCGGATTTTCCTCTTCAACCGGATGCAGTTGGGGCAAAAGGATGTGCTGGGGATTTCATGGGAGTTGCCTTGTGCAGAGACCAGTGACAACTCGGTTGGGCTGTCTGCTTTGAGTGACAGGGGCTCTTCTTCCTCATCTTCAAGGATGCCCACATCCTTGGCTGAGATGAAAGAGGAACTGTGGGGGACCTTCCATTCCCCTTCGCTCTGGTTTCTGCTGAGGCTCAGGGAGCTGTGCTGTATGGCACTGCCACACTGCTCAAAGATGTCTTCAGCCTGGTATTTAGATGCTTTTCTGATGGCAAGTGGTGTACTTGTTGCTAACTGGTTCTCATCAAACTTGGCAGACTCCAAAGAAGCCTCCAGGACGTCTTTGAAGATGAGGTCAATCTTTTTTTTCTTTGTATGGGGGTGGGATTCCCCCTCGTCACAGCTGCGCTTGTAGGGGCTCTTCCCTTGCTTTAAGGTGAAGTGGAGTGGCCCCCTTGCATCCTCTTGATTTTCTATGTTCTTTTCTGACTTTTCACTCTGTAACTTTTTGTCTCCTAGAAAGGAAAATGGGGTGTGGGGATTATCACTGGGAACCGAGCAACATCCCTCAATCTAAAACTCAAACAAAAAAAGAACAAAAAGGCAGACTGGATCTCTGCAGGTCTGCATGTTGTGTTACAAGCCAGGGAACCAACACAACTCAGTGGAAACTGAGGCTTGCAAGAGGAGAAGCCCTGCTAATGGGCATGTCTGCAAAAACAGAGACAATCCTGGGTAGCCACAGCAGAGTAGAACCCACACACTTTAAAGAGAAGAGAAACTACAGGCAGCTTGTTTAACCTAAAGGTGTAACCAACCTGTGCTGGAAGAGGACTATGAGGTGAATGACTGATCATAGTGGAACCTAATACCCAGAGCCTAAGTGCCATTTTGGCTGGCTGGAAGTCCTGTGCCTGTTTTGACTTGGTAAAAGGTATCAAGTGTACAGCAGTGCAGTGAGAGATTTACACCATTTCATGACAACCCCAGCGTCTGTGCACGCCATGGCACAAAGTTTGCAAGCCCCTTTACTCTCATTCACTTTGGAGGCTGCTCCAGAAATGCAAATGTAAAGGAGTAAAAATAACTTGCACTCTTAAAACCTAAGAGTACTTATTGTCAACAGAGCTACAACGGGTGAATGCCCGCCAAGGATGGGACATGTAGCTTGTCCCGGTGGAGTCTGAGAGTATGGCCATTCAGTAATAGGAAAAAAAAAATAAAAGCAACCTCATACAAATTATTAATTGCTTATTATTAATAAAGGGAATAGCCAGATTTCCTTACCTGAAAATTCAAAAGACGATAGGTTTGGCTCAATTTCCATCATTCTTCTATCTTGTAAATAACTTCAAGCATTGAAGGCTTCCCAAACAAGACGCTGCTTTATGCTGATTTTTGGTTTTGTTTGCTTTTAAAGTGTATTCATGCTTTCATAAGAGTTATGGAGCAAAAGCTACCATTCCCTCTCTAAGGAGAGCAATGCTAAGAATGCAGAAAAGATGCAAGACTTGAAACAGTTAGAGTAAGGCACTGTAAAAAGGGCTGGCCTGAATGGATGGGATTTTGCACTGAGTTTGGATGCTGGCTGGGAATCCCAGCCACTCTTTTAGTGAATCCATAACAACAGATCTCATTTTCAACACATTGATGAGAATTTCTATGGACAAAGCTTTGAGTCTCTGTCTTTAGTATTTTCCCTGTTACAGACTATAACAACTATTGTCAGAGGTAGGGATTTAGAAAACGAATTCTTCCTTCTTGGTGATTTTTTCCCCAACCAGCAAGTGCTTCAGCCCTATGGAAAAGCTAAAAATCACAAGACAATCCCTCATAATACTGGTCTCAGCTCTAATGATGAGGCGAGTCAGAAACTATCTACAGAAACAAAACCCAGGAACGATGCCATTTTTCTGTGAGTTAATAAAGTGTGCCACTTCACTTCATTTGACAGGCTCATCTGCAGGGGATTTGAAATTTTTTAAACAGAAAGTAACTCAACAAATTTTTGTGCTGCTTCCTGACCACCTCCCAGTGCCCTCCCAGCTGAGGCTTTGATGTCTTGCAAGTCTAGAAATGGCCCAAGTGATGCCCCATTTTAACAACATCTCTGCGCCTCTCTTGTGAACACAGGCTTAGCTCAGCTTGTAGCAGGATGAGGTCAACAAGACATTTCTGGAATGGTCTCCACAGCCACATGGATTTCTACCTGAGCACGTGTTAGGCTATGGCAGGTCCTGACGAGTCCAGAGGCAGATCCTCACTGCACTTGTAGCACAGAGCAGGCTGTGAGTTACCATTTCAGCTCACACAAACCACCACACCATGACAAACCATGACTAAAGGCATGTCTGTATGGCAGGGCAATAGCTCATTGCCTTGGTGCCCCTCTACAGCAGCTGATCCAAGGGCACAGACTGTCTTGCTGTACTTTCAGAAAGTACTAAGCCATTCGGATGACTAATGTGTGCATGTTATTGCAGCAAAATCACTGAAGCTGTACCTACTCAGTGATGTTCATTAATATAAAAAAGCAAATTCATAACGATGTTCATTCAGAAGTAGGAATTGCCCAAGTACAGCCACCAAGATGTAACACTGCAAGTGCATAATAACCCTAAGGTGATAGAGATAACCAGCTTTTTCAGGACATCTTGTCCACCCCATGACTGAAAAGGAGACACCTTTTACCAAGTCAAGGCAGCAACAGCAGCTGTGTAATAATATACACGGGAATCTTAATTACAAAGTTATATTTAGTGTGGCTGCCCCTCTGAGGCCCTGCCATTCTGCATCTAGCCTAGAAAGAAATGCTCCTAATTAACTTCAGGTATCAGCATTGTATAGATGAACAGATGCATTAAGAATTTCTGCTTTCCTCTAAAGCTTCCTGTATTGCTGACAATATGCTGGCCCAAAGGACTACTGGGTTTGTTCCAACACTGCTACTCTTTAGATAAGATAACAATTTCTATCCAAGGAAGAATCAGTCTGATAATTACAAAGCCTCCTGTATGTTGTACATACACTCTAAGGTTGTGAGACTAAGGAGTCTCTAGCTGATGTCGCGCTGATCCCAAATTATCTTTCTGAAGAAAGAGGAGATAAATTAAACGAGGAAAATGGACATACAAACACACCAAGGAAATATCTTTCATAGGCCCATGAAACCAGCTGGAGCTCCATCAAACAGGCTGCTCATAGGAGCTAGAGGGTGCAGCATGTTCAGAGGAAAAACCTAAAGCTGTCTGTAGGATCACCAGCTTGGCAATCTTCAGGCCAGAAAGTCTTGTGACAAGGGTGCTCTGTGATCCCTGGGTGTTGCATTAGGCCTTTGTAGCACACACATGACATGACATAACACAACACATGACATGACACACCATAGCAAAAATCTTTCTTTCATGATCTCCATGACAATGGTTATCTTATTCTTCTTGTACACCCATCCATCCATGCCAGGCAGAGCTGGAGGCTCTCACCCAGAGATGCTCTGCTTCTAGAAATGCATCTCTCATCACACAGCCTGTGCATTATCTACTTCACCCACCACACTTGGCCCAACAAGTGGGGCAGCCCAAGGGGATCAGGAGAGAGGATGGAAATGGAAGGGACTCACCACTTGTGAAATTTCTGTTGATAGTCTCCTGGGACATACTATGCAACCGCTTCATGTAATCCTCGCTGTACCACACCCGCAGCCTCTCCCCAGGGTGGATGTCACGGCAGGCACGGAAGTAAATCCTCTCGCTGTGCTGAAAGGCCATCAGGTTCTGCTCCCTCTCCTCCCGGGAGATGATGACGTACCTGAGGGCAAGGTGACAAGGCAGGTGTGAAGCACAAACTTCTCTCCTGTGCCCCACCTTGTATCAGAATGACAACTATGAAGAAGCCAGAATGACCTTCAGAGAGAGCCATCAACACAGCCAGACTGAAAAGCATGGAATTATAAGCAATGGTGTGCAAATTTCCAGAGATACAGAACAATGAGCATGGACATCCAGGGAGCACTAAGCCAGTGGGTCAATTTCTTGCTGGAGAAGGGATGACAACATTGCATATCCAGCCTGAAGGAGTATCTGCCAGTAAGGGTGACACAGACTCTCCTGGGCAGAAATATCTTTGTCTAGTGATGGAAACAAGGACTTTGTGACTCCCCACCATCACATCCCAGGGCTTCCTTCCTTGTTCTCAGGAACATCTAGAATATGGCAGGGTTCCTCTGCCTATCTACTTCCCCAAAACACTGCCTTCCTTTTTAGTAGATAACAGATTTCCTTGCTTCTCTCCTCTCAGACAAGCAGAATTGAGATTCTAAGGACAGAAACATGGATACCTAATGTGCATGGGGGCATGTGCCAGTAGTCCAAGGATGTTCCAGTACTGGAAAGTTTTGCAGCTGAGAGGTCAGCAGGGTCTGACATAAAAATACAAACAGCTCTGCAAGTGGAAACCCCAGCACCACATTGTGGGAATCTCCTGGCAACGCTGACAGAAAGATCACTTTCTGGGCATGGGATTTATTTTCCTGATTTAAAACAGTTAATTTTCAGCTCAGTAAAATGTATTTATTCCCACTCCAAGCAACCTGCTAAGACAGCGATCTCTCACTAGGGTCATATTATTTGCTCTCACACTACTCATGTTCCTTTCAACCTAAGGCGACTGAAGGCCCACACTAAGACCTTAAACCATCTTGTCCAGGAGCTGCTTTTTGCTGATGACGCCACCCTTGTTGCACACACAGAAGCAGCTCTGCAGCGTTTAACATCCTGCTTTGCAGAC